AGAAAAAAGTCCTCTGGGAGTTGTTAAACTTCAATTCTGGGCACAAAGAAAAACGTGTAACCACAATGGACCTTTGCTGACATTAGGAAAATGTTGTGCCTTTTGTTTAAAGGGCATCATTGCATTTCTGTGTAAAACAGATTGTTATCGCTCACCTTATTCTCGTGGCCTGACTTGTCCCCAACCCACACTCGTGTGTGCTGCAGCTGTAAGGTGAAGCACCCACCCATGAATCCCTCTCTGCCTGACTTATAGCATTGTCATAGTAAGATGTGGCATATTCCATAGGCTCACTATAAATTGCTGTTTAGCGAGGTCATTAATGTCCTCCCACTGGAATTTTTCATATGCACATACAGCCATAATGCAAAACTGGAGGCTGATTTCAATGATGAAATGATGAAATATACTTAAAATACTGTTGTAACTTCCAGACTCCCTGAGTTCAGCTTAAACCACTTGCCGTCCGCCCATTGTAAATACATGGGCAGACAGCAACCTCTTCCCGGCGGGTGGGCATGCCTATACGTCATTTTTTTTCTGCTCGTGTATGCTATAGCAGAATCCTGCTGTGCATGAGAACAGCCAGTACCGGCTGTTACATACATGCGTTCGGGCATCTTTACAGCCGTCCGATTGCTTGTATGACAACAAACAGCGTGCGCCCCCCCCCCCCCCCCACCCCCCCCCCCCTCTGCTGCCACGTTTGTTAGCCCCCTATGTGATAGCAAAGTTAATTGAAAAAAATTAATAATAGTCACATATTTTAAAAAAAACACCCCCAAAAAGGTCCCCGCATGAACGCGCATATAAACGTAAATATGCCTTAGGTTTGCCTACGAGCGAAAACAACGACTACTCCTCACATGTTACATATTGTGAGTGTGAGCAATATTGTGAGTGTGAGCAATAATTCTAAGGTTATCAATCTCTGATAAAACTGAACTGATGAGCGGTAAATCTTTTTAAGGGTCATCTATGGCCAATTATAGGCATGGTAGTTTTTTTACGATTTTGCAGGCACACGCAATTTTAAAGCTTGACATGTTTGGTGTCTATTTACCCGACGTGACCACGTCTTTTATATTTTACCAAAAAATTGTGTACTAATAAATGTTTCATAACATAATGTAGGAAAAACAGGGTTTTTTTCGAAATTTTTTCATTATATAGTAAAAAATTAAAATCCCAGTGGTGATTAAATACCACCAAAAGAAAGCTCTAACTGTCCCAAAAAGTGGTATAAAACTCATTTCAGTACAGCGTTGTATGACGGAATAAACGTCATTCAAAGTACCGCAGTGCTGAATACTGAAAAATGGCCTGGGCAGGAAGGGGGTTTAACACCCCGATCAGCAAGTGGTTAAAGCATAATCCTGTACATACATAAATACATACATATATAATCCTGTATAGTCTCTCTGGTGATTTACATATCCCTGACATACTGCGTAACCAGCAGGGTGAATTCTACTATTTCCATAAGCAGATGCCATCTGTTTGTTCATTGGACCTGTGCATTTTTACAATGATCTTTTTTGTGACCTTTACCTTCTGTAAGTTGCCTAAACCTTTCCAGCTCACAATTCCTAACACATGTCAGATTGAAGACACTACGCAACATGATAAAGGTCCCTTTGCAGTGCATATGCTTCCAATATCAGTCTGATATGCAGAAGACTGTGCGATTTTAGACATATTTTAGTAAATTACACTAGCAGTATTTTAAATAGACTTTTCTTTTTTAAATGAATGCATACCTGAATTATACGATGTTTGTATATTTGTGGGGCGTTCCACAAAACATGTAACTTTTATTCTAGTAGATTTAATTTAGACAAATATTTACATTAATATGCATTGCATTAACGTAGCCCACTTGTGTGAATGGGCTGCCAATGCACCTAAAATGGTGCATGTACATTTCTGGGGTGCACATAAAAACAGCAAAGCACGAAACGCATGTTTCGGCAATGTGTACTTGTGAGTCCCACATCCAAAAACATGACTTTTTTTTCTTGTATAGTTCATTTTAAACCACATTTAGGCCACACATGAATGGTAAATGGGCAGTTGGGTTTTAAGATAACTAGCACACTGTACAATATGAACTGTATGTAAGAGAGGCTTAGTTAGGGCCTTTGTGTGTTTGGGTCTTACATTGGTGGTCATTGGCATTGGGATGTTTTGTTTACTTGGCACTTTGAATCTCTCCCCTAGGCTCTGTGCCCAGTGCACACCTTGGGAAGGTAAGAAGCATGCATCAGTGTGGTTAGCAGTGTTCCCGTAGCAGCAAGACATGACAACCCCATAAGCTGCAGTTACTTAAAAGGGTGTGATGCATGGTTTGACACCTTGACAAATCAAGAAAAGGGCCACATGTTAGAGCTTTGGTACTGCTAAGATGAAACCAAGGTTAGCAAGTGCTTGCACAGGGCGCCCTAGTAAGAACATTGATGACTTCCCTTTGCAGCTGACTGCCTTTTCCTGTAGTGCTGCCTCAGGTTGTGAACCTTCACACAGACACTATGGGGTCTATTCACGAAGCTGCCGAAGGATCTGGCCATAGCTTCGGCCGATCCTTCGGCTAGCTTCGGCCCCAGCACCCCTTCGGTTCAGTAGAACCAAAGGGGTGCTGTACGGGCTATTCACAATAGCCCGTACAGCTCCCAATCATGGCATGTCATACACTCGGCTGCCCCTGGCAGCTTCGTGAATAGACCCCTTTGTATCCATTTCAGAGACAAGGCAGTCTGCTGCAAAACAGAAGTTCTGCCCAGCATGAGAACAGATACAGATTTAAAAGGAAGAGCAGCAAAGAGAAGGGGAACTACCATGGATTACAGTAAGGCTCACATTACAGTATTGGTTTATGTTAAAAAATCTGAGGGTTTAATGTCACTTTAAATTATTTTCTTTCCCACTCTTATTGCAAACTAAAACACCAATTAGCTTGCAATGTTCATAAATAGGACTTGCAATAAGAATTCCCAATATTCATTAAAAGGTACTGGTATTAGACTTCAACATAGTATCCTGATTTGTATTGTGTTATGTTTACAAGATGTTTTTTTTCTATCATGATAAAATAAACTGTAGACAAAGTATGCCCTTTTCTCATTTTAATGTGTTATTTATTTATTTTTTGTATCTGTCTTAGATACGTTATTAGGGCAGCCTTGTGGATGGCCCCGGAGCAGGCCCGATGGAAGAGGAAAGAAGTCACCATGATGAGGGCAGTAGATTGAGTCCATTTGTAATACATCCTTTGCCTGCTTGCCAAAACAATCCAGCAAAGCTACAAAATGGAGAGCTACCAATGGAAAATGCCCCACCCCAAGTTAACGGAGAAAGCTGTATACCAACCAAAAACAGCTATAGTATCACCCACATGAAGGAAAATCAGGAGTGCTCTGACCTCACACACGAAAACAGTGTGTATCCAAATATACATAATGGTGCAATAAAGCGCACACTTAGTGAGCCTTTGCTATCTGATTTCCTCCAATTAAAAAAAGTCAAAACAGTTGTGGAAGTGAATGGAGAAAATGAAGGTGAATTAAATGGCAAGTACATCCAACCAAGTGTGTCTGATTTCTGTAGCAAAGATGAAGCTGTGAGTACAAGAAAACAGGAAAATCCAAGCGTTCATGTTCCCAGTGAGCAGAACAAAGACCTTAATTCCCACAATGGCAACATTGCCTTATCTAATACAGATATTGCAATGCCTAATGGTGCTACTGTTTTTGCCTCTTCCATGAAGCTTACACATGCTGAACTCTTGGAAAAAACAGGTTCTCAATATTATCCTGAAAATGTTACCCTTGCATTGCAGAATAACACACCTCACTCGGTTGCCATGAACACTCTAAATGATGCTAGTAAGGACTTGTCTCCTCAGACAAGTCATTCTTCACATACCTCAGGGCAGATCACTTCCCAACTAACCTTGAACTCGGTGCTGCCTCAAGGGCCAGATGACTTGGCTACTGAGGCTCGTAACAGTGACAACTGCAGTGAGCCAGCTGTAAAACCAGGAAGCTACTCACATCACATGCAAGAACAGCAACCACTTCCACAGGAGAAGCCAAAATATAACTCCCAGGATTTACCTGGAAGAAACTGTGACGCTAGTGAGCCTGATCATCTAATTTACTCTACCAGTGCTTCTTACCACCTGCAGAATAACAAACCCGATGAAAGGCTTTCTGAATCTTTTAGTAAGGATCGTTACACATTTTTGCAAATGAATAAGTTATTATATGCCCAGGAAACTGACAGTTACCGTTCCACCCCAAACATATGTGATGGCAGTTTCTTAAATTCACAGTCCAATGGAACGTGTCAGTCAGTTGAACCAAGAATGACTTCTCAGTCAGATTACATGCTTACTCATAATAGCAGGACATTGCCCACTGATGTACTTCCTCCACTTCATTGTTCGGCAGGAGGGGAACCACCTTCAGAAAGTAGTGGTCAGAAAAAAATGACATTTGAGAATAATTCAGAAAAGCAAAATGAGCATACCATGTTACAAAAAGGGAGAAATCATTTTAATGGAACGGCTGAGCGCAGCAGGGTTATGGAGGAGCAAAGAAACCCTTACATGAAGACAAACTGGACAGACTTCCGATCCAATCTTTTTTTGAAGGAAGAAGCCTCAAAGAAATCAGAAGATTTACTAAAATTATTAATGGACTCTCAGTCGGAAAATCAAAAGAGGCTTAAGCAATATACAAGAAAACAGGGTAGTACTAATCAAAATATAGAGAGCTCTGTGCCACCACTGCAGCCTCAAGGGCAGCATCTACATTTCCAAAAGCACTTATCCCAGGCAACAGGTACAGATACTCAACGGCACAGCTATGATCCTAAAAACAAAGGTAACCCTTTTTATCAGTTATATTCAGATAGGCAAACTGGTCATATGTTTGACCACACTTTAAAACAGCACTTAAACATGCATAAAGCTGAAAATGAACAGTTTCCACACAAGATACAACAAACACTGCACCAACAGATTCTGCATTCAAAACCTTGTGAGAGTCCCCAGTACGCCCAGAGCCAACCTTATCATCAAAGGCCAAAGCAAGAATTTACAATGGGCATGGACATGTCACCACAAGGTCACCCGCAAACTCTGTTTGGTAATGCACTAAATAGTGCAAACCCACAAGATCACGTGAAATTAGAGGAAAGCAGTGAAGTAGCTAGTCAGTGCCAGAATTTCCCTCAATACCATCAGGATGTAGAGAAGCAACAAAATTCAAGCAATGCAGACTTACCTTTCAATCCTAATCAATCTAACTCACATAGAAAAGAGCAGTATATATCTGAAAATATAGAGGCAGGTAAAGGTAAAGTGGACCTTTATCAGCAGTACTATCAAACAGAACGGTCTCTTCAGCATGGCTACCAAGATCAAAAAAGCAGCAGCAATATCCCCATTATGAATCCCAGCCAACAGCCAGTTCAGGAGTATGGTAAACATTGCCAGGATATTCAGACCCCAGACAAACAAAAGAGATATTTACCACAAAACAATAGTTCTTCTCCCCTTCTACAACATCAAGCAGGATATCATTCTCAGTTTGCAAACCAGATGAATTGTATTCCAAAACATGCTGCTCTGAGGCATCATTTGCTTCAGCGCCAGGAGCAAAATAAGCATGAAAGTTCCTCTGTACACAGAGTTTGCAAAGTGGAGAACAGCTCACAGTCTTCCTGTGTGCGTACACCCAGCGAAAACAAAACTACAAAGAAAACAATCAAACAAGAGAATCAGCATTTTGGCCCAGAGAATGTACAAAAAAAGAGTATTCTTGAAACAATGGAACAGCAGATGAAACAGTATCCTGGCAAATCATTGTTTCACCACCATGTGTCTACCATTAGATCACCAAAGCATGTGAAGGTGGAGTCTTCAGGTCCAGTGACAATTTTAACCACACACACTAACTCCTCTGCAGGAGAGCACCATGTCCATCCACATGAAAAAACACCAACCAAGAGAGCAGCAGGCTCTGCTCTGAATAATTTCTTAGAGTCTCCTTCAAAGCTTCTTAGCACCCCCGTCAAAAATCTGTTTGATACACCTGTAAAAACACAGTATGATTTTCCATCGTGTAGCTGTGTTGGTAAGTACACTTGTATTTTTTGTAGCTTTACTATGTTATCATAAAGCTGATCACAGTAGTTTACAAGCCTTTCACATATACACATTTGTCTGTAAGCTGGGAATACATTGCGACTGTGTGCTAGGGAACGTGTATTTCTATTTTGGTCCACTTTCTCCCTCTTTTCATAGTCTTAAACTTCTGCATTAAAGTGACACTAAATGCAGGAGTCAAACCTTAAAAATGCATTCAAGTACCCTATTATCAAAAATGTAGCTTATTTGTGTATCACTCAGCTGTAGATCCTCAAATCATCTCTAAATTGGTGCTGAGACTGTCCTTCCTTCTGAGGGGTGGCTACTTTTGTACCCCATGGTCCCTGTGTGGCCACCGCTACTACTAAAGTTCATCCCTTACTTAACAAACATATTTATATATATATATATATATTGCCTTTTAGGCAATATATTACATAATACATACTGTGGTGGATTTAGTGAAACTGTTCACAAAGCCAAGTAAGTGTTCACTTTAAAAAGCCTATGTTGACTTTTTAAAGTAAATATTCACAGTTTAGGAGATAAGGATAAGCTGGGTTCACTTTGCATACCCAATCACATGCAAAGAAAATTAGAAACAGGATTTTTGCTTGCACATGATTTGATGCCACCTCATTCACAAAGCTAAGTGAACATTCATATTGTTATTCCATTAGTAAATCACCCCTGATGCCACTAGCATTTGTTTAGCATATATTATTAAACACTAGTTCAAGGAGCAGTAAAAAGGTGTTAGCCAGAGCCACACATTTACTAACATACATGGGTTACCTTGTGTTTTTGTATTCCTTCGTTATCCTGTTGTAGATAATGTCCAATAAGGAACAAGGAGGTCCAGCCACATAGCCAATCATTACTACTGGGATTAGATTTTTAAGTGGTTTGCTTCTGTCTCACTTCTTGTCTCACTGAGGTGTGTTGGAAGCTATAGATTTTTTCAGAAATTTAGCAGGAACCTATATGAGAATTTACCAGCTCTCACTGGAGGCCTTTGCTTAAGGATAAGGCAATTTAATCATATGAGTTATTAATAATAATAATACAAAAATTTTGCCAGCAAGGCATTATTAATCACTTTAATTGCCCTAGCCATGTATCTGTAGTAGTTTAAAGCAAACCTGACACTTTGCCTAATTAAGACTAATTTCTTGGCTACTCTTAATTCCCCCATGCTCCATTTGCCTGCTGGAACCTTGGAAATATTCTGCACTTCCGGGGATGAAAGAACTTCACCTTCTCCCCTTCCTACCACTATATAGCGAAGGACCTGAGTACTGTCATGTGGGGACAGGGGGGGTCCCTATGCTTATGTAAGCCCCAGCATAGACTGACACCGTGCTTTCTACCTGGGGCTGTGGTGGGTGAACGGGGAAGAGGGGTCTGAACCTGTTACTTGGCCCTGAATAGGCAAAGTGACAAGTTTACTTGAAAGCCCAACTACAGTTTATTTTGCTATCAAAACACAATGCTGGTCCTGGTTATACAACACAAATCATTTGGATTTCCAATCTTGATAAATCAAGAGAGATGTCCATGTAATAATGAGTAACCAATATGTATCGACCATTCCGTTACATCAGTAAATGTATTGTTACTCTCTGGAGCTCTGCAGGTTCCAGTTAGTTTTTGCTGAAAGTGAGTTTTGGTTTCAGTAGAATAAAATACACAAACCTTGCTGCATGTTTCCAAAGCTGTAGCTTTGTGCTAAGTTTTGCAAAAACGTTTATTATGTAGACCTGAAATACAATTTTTTTTCTGTATCTTTGCACAGACCAAATAATTGAGAAAGATGAAGGACCATATTACACTCACCTTGGTGCTGGACCGAATGTGGCAGCTATCAGAGAAATTTTGGAAGAAAGGTAATGATAAAAGTCGGTCAGCCATAATTATTAGTCACTAAATTCAGATTAATCAGGAAGAGTTTTTGTTTTTTTGTTGGGGGTAATAAATATGATTGATTTTATTTAGAACTATGCCAGTATACTAAAAAAAAAGTGGGAACCTAGAGCAGTACAACATGATAATTTGGTATAATTCTAATATTGCTCACCTTTTTTCCCCAGTTTCTGTATTTATTTATTTTGGTGTAGCATATAAATGGATACTTAAAGTTTAAATGAAAGAGGAACTTTACCCTTATCTTCAAAAAAATTTTTTAAAAGCCACCTTTAGAAATGTTTAGTAATGACAATCTACAAACAGAAACTTCTAGATAACTGCAGGCTTTTTATTTTTTGCATACTTTATTTTTTCTTTTCTTCCCCAGTCTTCTGACAGTGACCATTTTAACTAAGGGCAGGCTACTAGATCTCCCTTTACTTCCTGGAACTCTGTCACGTGTGACTAGAACATGTGACCATGCACATCATGTAAAGGGGAGGATAATGCATTTCCCTGAGATTACAGATGATATTTCCCAGCAATGCACCGTGATGCAACCTTCCCAGGATGCAACGCTTGGTCACATTACATCATTTGTGCCAAAGTGGACCAAGAAGTGGAAAAAAAGGACATTTTAAGTAAAATAAAAAAATGTTTATTTAACTAATGGATGTAAGATGATGTCTTATCAGCATGCAGAGCTGTGTGTTGATGTGATTTTTAGTCAAAGAGGGTAAAGGTCCACTTTAAGACTGAAATATAATTAATGCAGCTCTGTGTAAATTAATCAATTTTTTTTAAAAATGCAACTAGTGTAAGTACCTGAAATTGGTGTAATAACAATTTTTTGCAATCCCCCATACAGCAAAGCTCAAACTGGAAGTGGGAGGGTAGGTAGTAGGAGCCCATTGGGGGTGTAGCATACTGATGTACTAATGGAGAACAAGCTGGGAAGAGCAGAGAACTGTTGCTGCTCCTATACTTTTCAGTTAGCAGACTGGGGGCTGGGAAATGTCACCACTGCATTTCTTAACTTTAATAGACAAAGTGGTGTCATCTTTCAAGTTGTACTGTGTAAAGCTCAGCAATCAATGGACAGAAACACTTTGGCAGTCACAAAGCTTTGTGATATGTATCTCATCTGTATAGTTAGATACTTGACTGCAGCTCGTCTTTAAAGTTTCCTTTACGTTCATCTAGAAAGGGGACCGATGATGAAAAAAATAGTAATGTTTACATTAAGTGCTTTTGTTTTTAGGTTTGGCCAGAAGGGAAAGGCCATCAGGATTGAGCGAGTACTTTATACAGGGAAAGAAGGGAAGAGCTCTCAGGGATGCCCAATAGCAAAATGGGTAAGTGAATCATTTGTATGTTTCCATAAGCCCATAAAAGACCACCCCTAGGTCACAAATGTTATCATGTGCATCATAAAATTAATTACTGGCAGCGTGTAAACTAGCATTTAACTTGCCACCAATAAGTACAGTCATATAATAGATGCATATATTGGGGTTGATTTACTAAAGGAGTAAACCATGTTATAGTTAGAGAAGTAGAGCTACATAGGGATTGGATTACTAAAGAAGCACAGGCATTTCTCTTAGCCAAAGTGAATGTGTAGCTTAGCAAATAAGCTGAAGCCACGCTCTCTTCAACCATCCAATCATCTACAAGCAAAAATCTTGGTTTTCCTTTTAATATATTGACACATGGATGATTATTCAAAGCGAATATAGCGATAATAGAAATTGAGCGGCCCAACTCTCGCATATCTACTCCCGCCAATGGACCCTCGGCACCAGGGTAACGCTGCCGCCTATGCCTTACGTTCAAAAGTCCATAGAAAACTGGCACTAGAAAAGGGATCAGTCCAATAAGTTCAATATATTCTCAAAAAATCCATAAAAACAGTCAGCTGAGCCTTAGTAATAGCCTAAGGCTCAGTTGTGGGGCCGAAACGCGTTGCTTCAGAGTTTTGTTATTGACTGTTTTATGCCTTTTTGGGAATACATTTATATTATTGGACTGGTCCTGTTTCAAGTGGTGGTTTTCTATTAACTTGTTCACAAAGCTATTTGAACTTAGTGCACTTTAGTAAGTGAACAGTTTCTCTTCCCTTAGTAAATCAACCCCAAAGCCTGAAGTTCAAATTAGTGTTTTGGATGGTTCATTTTAAATATGAACAGGTTTTGAGACAACATCTTCACATGAGTGGAATCCTAGTCACTCTGCGGTTATTACAAATTATTACAAATTTTAAGCTTGCTTGGGTTAAAAATGTATAAAACTTTTGATGGAGAGAAATCTAATAGATTCCCCCATTCACGCTAAACAGCATGGATAGAGGAATCTCCCCTATTCACTATTGTATTCAGACAGCCAGGAGCTCTCTGAATACCCGAAAAGTGACTGCATCTGATAGGTGGCTGTTTGGCGGACAAATTGCCACCATGCTCTTTTGACTTTTCAGTCGAATGTCGAGCCAAGTGGTGCTGACAGAGCCACCCATGGCTTGATTTTTAGCTGATTCAGCATGATTTGGCTGAAATTCGAAGCATGTATGGTTAGCATTAGTTACACATTTGAGAATAAACCTGAGTCAGTCTAGTCAGTGACTGCTTTGACCATTTTAATCCTGTATTGTCCTATGACCTAGTTACTCTTGTTTAGGGATCTACAGTTCTTTGTTATTGTCAGCATGCATGTGTTTTCTGTACACACATTCTTTAACTATTATTGTCTTACAAATTTAAATGCCTTGTGTATTTTTTTCAATTCATTGGACAACTATCTCCTGCATTTAAAGTAAATATGATCAGCTTCTGGGGTACCTTTACATGGGCTAAATTCCTAATTCAAATTGTTGAAAAATTAATTAAACAACATGTAGGCTGACATGATATGTACATCTTTTGTATTTTTTCTGTTACATGCAGATCATCAGTATTAGAAAACATTTGCATGGGATCTAGAGTATCCGTAATAATATGCACGATAATGCACACGAAAATCTGTGTTTGTTATTTTATCTCATGATCATTTTCTCAGAATTCTCCTAATTGTTCATTTCACAAAGACAAATATTGCTTATGTGTACAACCATTATTTTTATACATACACCAGGCAATTATTTTTATCTTAATATTATCCTATCATTATTTTATCTCAATAAGCAGTATTTCATAAGAATCACCAGTTCAAATGCCTTTTTTTCCTTCTGTCATTAATAGACTGAAAGGCACAGTTCAATTAGGCATTTTAAGGAGTGATAACCCATGTGATAGTTAATTGACTTTGGGAATTTACTGTCAAAATACTCCACAATCAATAAAATAATGTGTGCATGGGAAATCCAGCGGATCTGTGCAGTCCTAATGTAACTGAATTGAAAAATCCATTTTGCAAGAAGCAAGTAAGGAAAATACCACATGATTTGTGGCTTTGTGAACTGAGACTAATGATTGTCAAATACCATTACTGTGACACTGTTTTGTGGGATTCATATACATTATTATTATTATTATTGTATTATGATTAGCATTATTATTATACAGGATTTATATATGTCAACAACTTTACAAATGAAGGGAGACAGTACCTTAGATTGTAAGCTCCTCAAGGGCAGGGACTGATGTGTATGTGCATCTAAAGCACTGCGTAAATTGTCGGCACTATATAAAATACCTGTAATAATACAATTAGAATACAAATTCAATACAGGAGGGCCCTGCCCATACGAGCTTACAATCTTGTGCATCTGTACAGTCTGGAAAGAGGTTAAATACTGTTCAAAATAAATCTAGATACAGATCTGTAGGTATGGAAATTGAACAATTTATTTTAAAGCAATAGAGGGAAAAAATAAAAAGCAAAGTGCCCTGCAAAGAAGAGAGTTTAAATGTATCACTCCAATGCCACCGTTCTTTGCTGTTTGCCTGACCCCACCGCTGTGCCCAGTGCTTTGATCCACTGGCCACCAACTCACTGTGTCCTGTAGTCATATAGGGTCCAATGGAAAGGAGCTTCTCAGAAGATTCTTCAGGCAGGTATTCCTCTGCAATATAGCACTGATGGGTGGTGCAGGCAGTGGGAGATCTATGTATAAACATTCGATAACATAGTCAAAATTACCATTTGTGACTGACAGGTTTTCATAATTTTTTATTTAATTGCTTATTTTGAATTCTGGACTCTAGTAGACCACATAAGTACATACTGTTATATTAACAGGTCATTCGGCGGAATGGAGTGGAGGAAAAGATGCTGTGCTTGGTGAGGGAACGAGCAGGCCACTCCTGTGAAACGGCTGTTATTGTGATTCTGATCCTGGTATGGGAAGGCATATCTCTAACTTTAGCTGACAAGCTGTACTCCGATCTAACAGGAACACTAAGAAGATATGGAACCTTAACAAACAGACGCTGTGCTCTCAACGAGGAGTAAGTTGCTTTGCAGTCTTTTTTAAAGCTGTATAATTTTCGGTGTTATTTCTAAATTAATTTACAATACATACAATACAAAGGAATGTATATTTCTTTAATTTAACATGGAACATTAATTATAGTGAACCATTCCTTGGAAGCATTATTTTAAAGTGGCAACATTAAAGTTTTTCTAAAGATTTTTTTTTTAGTCTTTGAAAGAGTGTAGTTAAAATCCCTTACAAGTTTTGTTTTGCTGTCTGTGTCCCATTGGGGCGATCATTCTTCTTTTTGTGTCCAACAGACATTTAAGAGGGGATCTCTTCAAACTAAGATAAATCCTCTTCTAGACATTTCTCACTGGAACAAGTGTCCCTATTTGAAGATGTGCCCTCTTGTACCTAAAATGTTTTAGCTTTTCATGCACGTTCAGCCCCTGTGACAATTGTCATCAAGACAAACAGAGATGGGGAATCTCCCCATTGTGGGACACAGACAACAATAAAAATGGGACAGAGGTCCTAACCCTTTCCCACTGCATCCAAAATGAAAAAAAATAAATGTTTGCTTCAGGTACAGTTAATGTAAAGTAGCCCTCCAGTGCCTGCATAAATCTAGCAATGTCTTCTCCAATGCTCTAAGACCCCAAAATTCAGGGTGCTCTAATATTCAAATGCTGCTTTTCGAGGCAAATAAAGGACTCGAAATAGCATTTTACACACACATGAACTTTAATGGCATCCCGGTCTTTGTCCGTGGGGTTCAATATTGAGTTGGCCCGCCCTTTGCCGGTATAACAGCTTCAGCTCTTATGGGAAGGCTGTCCACAAGGTTTCGGATTTATCTATGGGAATGTTTGACCATTCTTCCAGAAGCACATTTGTAAGGTCAGGTACTGATGATTGTAATTTTATTTTATGAAATGCATGCCGTTACAACAGAATATTTCTTAGCCATATTTAATGCCTTGTTATAAAGTGAGCTCTAAAACATTTATTTTATATTTCAGGCGTACTTGTGCATGTCAGGGGCTGGACCCCGAAAACTGTGGTGCCTCATTTTCCTTTGGGTGCTCTTGGAGTATGTACTACAATGGGTGCAAGTTTGCCAGAAGCAAAATCCCCAGAAAATTCAAACTTCTTTGTGACGATCCAAAACAGGTGAGTGTTTTTACATTTGTTGGAAGCCTATTTGTGAGATGTAAAAAAAGTAGTGTATTATATGCACAAGCATTATAATATATCTGCCACAAATAAGCCTGATTGGTTTGGAAATATTTTAGGTAAGAGTTGTTAGGTTATAGTTTAGGTTCTCTTTCCATATTTTCAGTATTTTTTTCTGTCTTAGGACATTGTCAGAACCTGTTAATGATCTATAATTCCTTATGGAAATAGTTACTAAATTCAATGTACTTAGCACATACACCAGGTATGATGTGGGGTATACACTAGATAAAAACACAGGAGCTGAAGATGCCCATAACTGACATCAGAAATGTTTGCTCGATCAGAAGACGTTTTCATATCCGTGGGATATCTTCCCTAACCATGTCAGATATTCCATGCTTGGGCCTTCTTGAGAGGAAAGTTAATTGGACAGCTTGGATTTTTCCCAGGCAACTGTTAATTTTTCTTCACAAGGGAGGCTTCTGCCAGGCATGCCTGTAGAGTACATTCACCTGATGCAAACAATCATATTTGCACTTCAATCTTTTACTAGAAAAATTGTTTTCCATGGGGTTCATACATTGTTGACTACCTTTGAACAGCTTTACATAGGTCACAAGCTGGAAAATTAAAGTTACTGAATTTTTATGGTATAGCAAAATCTTTAAAGAGTCATTATTGAAATCGAAATGGCTACTACGAAATGGCTTCCGTAAAGCATTCCCCAAGCCCTGCCCCCAGCCCACTGACGCCCCGCCCCAGCCTGGTCACCGAGCTATGTGTGGCGGAGGGAGGAGACAGGGAGGAGCCTCCCTGTCCCCCACTTGCTCGTCACTGGTGAAGCATTGAGATCAATGTCCTCAATGTTTTTTTTTGATTGGACAGCTTGGACCAATGGTGCTTTGCCATTGGTGCAAACCATCCACAGAGCTCAAGCCTCTAGCATAGAGTAGAGGCTGTTGCAGCACTTGCCTAAGTTAGGTTACACAAGCAGTGGGGAAGACCGCTGCTGTGTAACCTAACTTAGCTGTCAAAAGCAGGATGCAACGGGCAGCGCTCCGTCCATGACGGGTTACACAGTGAGGTGGCTTTCCCTGCTGTGTAACCTGTTAGAACCAGTCTGCATGGAGAAAAAGCTGGCAGCTTCAGGCTTGAAGCTGCCAGCTTTTTCCTCCATAATACTAGGTGAGGCTCTAGCTCACCTGCCTCCCCTGACCGCACGTCCCTGCTATAGAGCGTAGCAAAGTCACCAAAAAAAAAAGGTAAGCAAGTATTATCTAAGTACAAGAAGCAGGTGTGTTCTAACTTGAACCTTGATGTGCTGTGTGTATTTCTTCCAGATCTGTGCAGCAATTCTGTGTGAAACTTTGCATTTGTGCAGGAGCTTACTGTACTAAAGACTGGTCACACTCTCTCCTTGTGTAGGGTGACTAGTCTTGTATCCGCCCCTATCTGTAGTTTTCTGCAGGCAGTCTGTATTGGGTGGGGCCTCCTGGCTCACAGCTCTGATCTCTGCGCAGGCAATGTGCAGCACAGTGATGAGGTCACTGCTATTTTTAACATGATAATAACTGGATTTGCATAGGCATTTGGGGCACACAAAGTGGATTTCATCTGTGGCTATTGAGGAATATGTTTCAGTAAATGTTTTTGTTCCCGGAGTTCAGCTTTAATGGCAGTTGCAATAGAAGAGCTGTTATACTTAATTCCCATATGTCACTGCTCTGTCCTGTAGTAATGTAGGGGTCAGAGGATGCAACCAAGGCATGCAGCGGGGGGCAAAGTTATTCAACACTCCCAGGAGTGTGAAATGGTGAGGGGTATAATGGAAGCTGCACCACTTGAACAGAGGAAAGGTAGGAGACATGGGCCTTCAGAAAGGTGAGCATAATAGCTTTTCTATTGCAGGGAACTGCAGTTTTTTTATGTTTTGGTACGCACATATATGGAAGTTGTTTGTTTGCAGTAGAGCTATGGTCAGTGACTTATTTGGCTTACAGGCATAATCACAAAAGGGCTTACAGAGGAAGAAAACACATTGTGGCTTATTGGCTCAAAGTGGGAAGGGAGGTTGAGAAATAAGAATTCAAGTCAGATGGTATACAATGTAACCAGTTGTTACTGTGCAACACAAGAAATACCCATAAACACATTCATGTGACAGGAAAATAGCTCATAGTAAAGCATCACTAACTAAGGCTTTCTGGTATTCCGAAATGTTCATATGACACCAGCAAGACAGAATTTGCACTGCCTTCATAATCTATAATTTGTAAAACAGAGTTGTTGTATGTTAGTGCATAACAATTATCATATTGTGTAGGGGCCAGAATGTCTGGAGTAATAAGCACAAACAATTTAGGCATGTTGTCAAGCATGATATTATCCCTGTTAGCGATTTCCCAGTATGTTGGAAAGCCTCTGTGTCTTATTAAGGCTCATTCTCTCTTTTCCTTAGAAAAGGGAACTCTCAATTCATTAACTTTGCCGGGGATGGGTAAAAATTTGAGGCAGGTCTGATGATGCACTGATTACACATGGGATGGGCATAATCTAATTTTCCCTTCCAAATGAGAGATCTGCCCGTTTATGACAAATCTCAACATTTGATGTGCATTGCAGGAATATAAAGTAATAGATTATATATTTAGGCATATGAAAGAGCTTTGCTATTCACACTACCTTTAAATTAAAGCTAGTGTTTCTGTCTCGTATTTAGATATGTGTCTTGTACAATAATTGATAAAAGAGAACTATAGCCTAACATTTTTTTGCCATAGTTCTCTTTAGGGTCACAGGAGGACATATACTAATTCCTCCTTTGACCCAAAACTCAGAACATAGCGGGCTATTGTCAGGATCCACCCCACCGCCTGATTAACAGCTAGCTCTGCCTCTCTAGAGGCAGAGCCAGCTGTGCCCACACCCACCCTTGTCCATCCCTCCAGTCAGTGCTGGAGGATTGGAGAGGGGAGAATCCCTTCGGGGAGCAGTGACTGATAGTCACCACTTTCTGCAGGGAGATGATCAGGAACTGAGCGATCGGCGGTATGCGATTGCACGGTTCTCGATCAATAGAGCCAACATGTGACAGCTTCAGTGTCACACATTGGCTCTTATTATGGGGATGAGTGTAATTTACTCTTCCCATAATTCTCCATTAATTACTCTGTAAATGCAGGTATAAAAAGTACATTATAAATTCACTTGGTCAACTGTCTGTCTTCAGCCTGGGTCTGTTTTTGCTTATTCTGGATGCTAGTGTCATGCATGATCATACTCTACTTATAATGTTATGATGTCAATAAGCCTGCTGTCTTTGTTCTACCTCTAAAATCAATAGTGATAAGAGGTTATGGTTGTGTCTGTTTTATATATGCACACTGCAGTCTGAATATGACTGGCTCATACAGTGAAGACTTAAGATATACACTGAGTGGCCAGATTATTATGACCAATAGCTATAATTTTGCGCTGAAGTTGCTAGAGGGCCAGACCATTATAAATAGGGAAGCAGGTTGTTTACCACGACAGTAGAAGTAATTTTTTTTCTGAAGATATGGGTAAACAATGCGATTTAACAGCCTTTGAACGTGGGATGATTGTTGGCGCTCAAGCCATGGAGCGAGTATCAGCAAAACAGCAGAATTCGTTAAATTTTCAAGAGCAGCTGTTGTTAAAGTGTTTAAAGTCTGGACTGTCAGCCGAAAATCTGGGTCTGAACGTGTGAATTGTGGCCATCAGCGACTAGTTAATTTTTTGGTGCAGAACAGAGTGGCAAGACTGGTACAAGACAACAGAAGGGCAACAGTGCAGTGTCAGATTCCTCGCATCACCTTTCAACATCTCGTGGAGTCACGAGGCGGCCCAACAAAGTCATCTCGTGGAGTTATCTTGTGGCCCAACGAAGTACTGATGGGGTGGTCATAATAATCTGGCCACTCAGTGTATACAGTAGTGAAGTCCAGCAGTAAGGATACATTTGCATGCACATAACCGTTAACCTGCATATCCAATGTTATAGGGGCTGATTTATAAAAGCTTCACCCAGGTATATACCCAGCTTTGCAGCATAACAGCTACTAGATGGCTCTGGGAAGCATAGGAAATTCCTAAGCTCCATGTGGCAGCTGCAATGCTGTGTGAACGGTGTTCACCCAGCTTTACGCTAGGCAAACCCATTATTAATAGACCTCTAAGTGATCATAACTTCTATACTTTTTAGCTGTTGTGGATCTTGTCTTAACATATATGATTCTGTTATTTTTTAATAAAGGAAGAGAAATTGGAAGACAGTCTGCAGGATTTGTCGACACTAATGGCACCAATTTACAAGAAGCTTGCACCAGATGCCTATAACAATCAAGTATGTATTCCGGCCCAACTCAAAGGGTTGCTTTAATTGTCCAACAACCTACACTCTGCACAGTGATTTGCCTGCATAAAACGAATGCTATTGTTAGAGATTCCTACTAATGGAATCCGTGTGAACAATGGATAGTAAAGGTCTATACGATAACATGCGTACTTTACTCCTAGGCAGTGAGAGTCACCAGTATGTCTTCCATTACCTCAGCAAGAAGTCATAACACTGCAAATAATGTATTTGGTAGATGGTTCACACACAAACACACTCTTAGCGGTGCCCATTTTGAAGACTGATATTGTGTGCTGAAGGGGAAAATCTATTGTGCTCTGCTGCTTCTGTGCATCACAACTAATTTGTTGTATACTATTTTTGATGGAGAGGGGGTGCTTGGTTCTGAGAGTAGGCTTGACTGGGGTAATGTCTTCACTGTAATAGTTTCACTCATTGACTCCTAGATTATAAAGGAATATCTCTAACCAAAAATTTTTTAACAATATTTTGAATAGGGTGGGGAAGGGTTACCACTCCTGTCAGGTATCCTGTCAGGCTAAGGAGAGATGAAGATGAGGTACTGGATATGGATCCTCGATATATAATGAGAGAAATCCTTATAAAGCTGAATAGCTTGCTTTCAGCAGCTCTCCACAAAACATGGGCCCCTCTCAAAAGACAGAGGATGCCTGATTTGAGAAGTCCATAAGCATTTCAACCATAGAGGAGCCAAACTATAGTCCTTAAATGCTAAAGTGGTACTTTATTGATTCCATAAAAGACAACAAAAGGATGCCAACACATTTTGGAGGCTTGGCAATCCCCCTTTAATAGGGCTTTAAAAATCAACTAGATGTTAGTTGCCTCCTGAGCAAGGGTCCTGGGAATTCAATCAAATCCATGAGAATAATTTCTTATAAGGCATGAAAGATTTTAGTGCATTCATACAAAAACTGGACAATGTATGGGCAGGGAATGGCAATTAAATACTTTATCTCAAATTGAAGTTCAGTTAGCTACAGAGCTGTAAACTTGTTTTCTGATACCTATTGTTCTTTGCTGATTAAGCAGAAATAAGCTGATATTGCCTATACCCAGCTATAGAGAATTCATCTGATTCAATGGATGTTGCATAATATTGCTCAAGGGTTTGATCACTCCTAATTGAAATTTCAGAAACTCTTATGTACTGGTACCTTAATTGGATACTCTTTGCTATTTTCTGTAGATAACAACATTCTACTTATAATTTCCTCAAGTGACAATGAAGGGCACTCCTTTCATTGTTACATCTGACATTATATACTTGCTTTTGGTAACCCAGTATTTAATATACTGAAATAATGTTAGCGTTGTAAAGTTTAATTCCATTTTTTGGTAGTAGTTTTACTTTTTTGCTTTACTGGAAAAATCTTTGTACTTACAGATTGTGGCTGTAAAATAATATGAGTTTTCTTAATAGCTGTACATTACTATTTCCCCGTCTCATTTGTAGATTGAGCATGAGCATAGAGCCCCGGACTGCCGCCTTGGTAGGAAAGAAGGTCGCCCTTTCTCAGGAGTCACTGCCTGTTTGGATTTTTGTGCTCATTCACACAGAGATCTGCACAATATGCAAAATGGGAGCACACTGGTAAGTCAGATTGTAGACTGTGTAACATTATATTACTATGGATTTAAGTAAGGTTTAAACTTGCTATAATTCTAATACACCATATTTGTTTTTTATGTGATTGCCTAGATATTCTGTTTCCTTTTTCATTGCACTAGTTGCTTCATCTAGATCAGTGGTTCTCAACCTGTGTAACCTCAGGACCCACATTTGTCTTCGGTCATTAAGTCGCGACCCAAGTCGCATTGCAATGGAACACATAGCATTGCGGTACCGTGCTTAACGGTGCAGGCGATCAAACTGTGGGTGGGAGGTGCGTTTGGGGTGCCATTAAAATGAATGGCAATGCAACGCACCTCCCTCACCAGAACACATGGTAGGTGCGATTGCATGGTACAGTGCGTTTATCGCATGGGACTGTGCGATTATTGCACTGTACTAGTGTGAACGGGCCCTCGAAAACACTGACAGACACACGCAACCACAGACATCATTTTTTTTAAGATCCATCCAGTCTCCCTACCTTACGAGAACTGGAGTGGATCCTCAACCTGGGGTCCAGTGTGGGCTGCTGTGCTGTGATGAAGCTCCATCCATGGGGGCATTGCTTGTACAGCTCCCATGCGTGCCCTGTAGAGGTGTCGGGAGCCAGAATGTGATGTCACTCCAGTCCAGGCACCACTACAGGGCATGCAAGGGAGCTGTAAGCAATGCACATACGGATGGAGCTCCCTCGCAGCCAAAGCCCCAGCCCACCCCACCCCACCTCAAGCTTACACACAGTGCCGGGGAAGCATATTTTGAATGGCTGCTTGGCGCTAGAACAGTGACAGTGTTGCGCTGGGGAAGGATGAAGAGTCTCTCAACTAGAAAAGTGTAAGGCATGTGGCAACCCACTGGACATGGGGTCGCGACCCACTTTTTGGTCACGACCAACCAGTTGAGAACCAAGGATCTAGATGTCATTACAGCAGAGAAAAGATAGAATGTAGAAAATATAGTGAAAAGTGTCCAAACAAAATGGTGTAAGTGGTAAGACCCAAATCTGCCTGATAGTCTCTATAGGACATATTGCCTTGTGTATACAATCCTAAATTATTTTCATAAACCCATTGTTAAAGCTGAACTGCTGGCCAATATAAAAGACACAAATTAATGTAGTCCTCTAAACTCATTAATACATCATTAAATTTTACTTGCACCTGAGTTTAGGTCAGGTTGGGAGAGAGAGAAGCAGTAAAGGGAGCCAATCATTTGTTAAAATTAGGAATATGTTGATAGGAGTTGAGAGCAAAGAGATTGGCTCATCAGTCTGCTGCTTCTCCTTTCACTGCCCAATCACAGGGTCACAATGAAACAAGACCAATAAGTATGGCTTAAATGTAGCAGAGAAAGATCATGTTTTATGCCCTTGGTGGGTAAAACACCTCCCTTATATGTATTCATCTGTGTGTTTAGCTCTTTGCCTGTAGTTCATTGTTAAATAAGAACTCATTTAAGTTATCCTAATATGTACCTGCTAAGTAAAATGTTTCCATAGTCAATGGAGAAGGCCCAACTATCTGTAGGAAGACTATTTCTGAAGGAGAAAGGATGTAGGGAGTAAGCATTACCTTCAGTTATTTATATTAGAGAATAAATCGTTCCACGGTGCACTGCCTCTAATTGATGTTCATAAAATTAAAGGATGTCAAAATGTGTTTGTAACTAGATGATCAGGTATATTTTATTTTGCAAACTCAGAATCTTGCCAACCCTTCTGATTCATTTCTTCCAGGTTTGCACTTTAACCAGAGAAGACAATCGTGAAATTGGTAAAAAGCCTGAAGAAGAACAGCTGCACGTGTTACCTCTTTACAAAGTTTCTAATGTGGATGAGTTTGGCAGCGCGGAGGCACAGGAAGAGAAGAAAAGAACAGGTGCTATCCAGGTTCTAAAATCCTTTCGCAGGCAAGTGAGGATGTTGGCAGAGCCTGTTAAGACATGCCGGCAAAGGAAAATGGAAGCCAAGAAGGCAGCAGCAGAGAAGCACTCTGCATCCCAGGAAAATAGCTCTAGTAAAAATGAAAAGGAGAAAAACTCACGTTATAAGAATGCACATTCTGAAGCTGCTAATCATGAAAAGCAGCTAGCAGGTAATTAGAATGCAGATCCATTACTTATTCAACGGCCTGGATTGGAAGGTCTTACCCATATTGTATTGTTACCTAATGTTGACTTTAGAATGTATGTCTTGGCAGCACATTTACTTTTTCTGCCTCCGCCACACTGAAATCATAAGCATTGTTTACAGTCTGCCTAAGTTCTCTCCTGCTCGACAGCTGAACACCCCTCTCTTATGTTATAGAGATGACGAGACAGGGAGGTGTTCATTATTGCAGCAGGGAAGAACTCAGGCAGGGCTGGTAACATTGCTTGGGATTTCAGTGCAGCTGAGGCAGTGTTGTCAGCTCACTACAAGAAGTTAGGAGCTGAGTGGTTTCAGGCAATATATATATATATATATATACACACAACATTAGTGCGGTTCTGGCAACATCAACAAGTATTTTTTGTAGTTGCAGTATTTGTAAAGAGGCAAAACCTAGAGAAATGTATGTATCTACATGTATTACAAATATGTACTGCAAATGTTTTGGGGTTTTTTGCCCTTACATGCACTTTAAAGTTGTCCAAAAAAAAAAGGAAGAATTGTGAAACCTTAGGAATTATCTGATCTTCTGTATGAAGGGCTCATAAAATGTGCCCAGGTCTTCTTCCTTGTCATACAAATATGACAAGCTTGTTTTTTTTTTTTTCAAACAACACAAACCTGATCTGCAGCTAAGGAAATGTTTGGTTGAGGTTACTGAGAATAAAAGGGGTTCCTCTAGCTACTAAATGCAGCACCTTATATGCTTTTTCCATCAGTGAACTTGTTTGTTTACTCAGTATATGGTCATGTATAATATGTATACACACTATATTGCCAAAAGTATTGGGACGCCTGCTTTTACACGCACATAAACTTTAATGGCATCCCAGTCTTAGTCCGTAGGGTTCAATATTGAGTTGGCCCTCCCTTTGCAGCTATAACAGCTTCAACTCTCCTGAGAAGGCTGTCCACAAGGTTTAGGAGTGTGTCTATGGGAATGTTTGACCATTCTTCCAGAAGCGCATTTGTGAGGTCAGGTACTGATGTTGGATGAGAAGGCCTGGCTCGCAGTCTCCGCTTTAATTCTTCCCAAAGGTGTTCTATTGGGTTGAGGTCAGGACTCTGTGCAGACCAGCCAAGTTCCTCCACCCCAAACTCACTCATCCATGTCTTTATGGACCTCGCTTTGTGCACTGGTGCGCAGTCATGTTGGAACAGGAAGGGGCCATCCCCAAACTGTTCCCACAAAGTTGGGATCATGATATTGTCCAAAATGTCTTGGTATGCTGATGCCTTAAGAGTTCCCTTCACTGGAACTAAGGGGCCAAGCCCAACCCCTGAAAAACAACCCCACACCCTAATCCCCCTTCACCAAACTTTACACTTGGCACAATGCAGTTAGGCAAGTTCTGTTCTCCTGGCAACTGCCAAATCCAGACATGTCCATCAGATTGCCAGACAATCTGAAGCATGATTCGTCACTCCAGAGAACACGTCTCCACTTCTCTAGAGTCCAGTGGTGGCGTGCTTTACCCCGCTCTATCATTTTATGTGGCTTACAACTTCGTGGCTGAGATGCTGTTGTTCCCAGTTGCTTCCACTTTGTTATAATACCACTAACAGTTGGCCATTGGATATTTAGTCACAAGGAAATGTCACAGATGGACTTATTGCACAGGTGACAACCTATCACGGTACCATTCTTGAATTCACTGAGCTCCTGAGAGCGACCCATTCTTTCACAAATGGTTGTAGAAGCGTCTGCATGCCTAGGTGCTTGATTTTATACACCTGTGGCCGTGGAGGTGATTGGAACACCTGAATCCAATGATTTGGAGGGATGTCCCAATACTTTCAGCAATATGGTGTATGCATATATAAGCTCAACAATCAACTGGCTTCCCATAAGAACGAATGGGAAATCTACTGCACATGCACGGACTTGCCAGGATACTTTCTGCAGGGACACTGTACGGCGCCCAGTGGCCCCGCAGCAAATACCTGTGTGGATCGTGGGCAGGTAAGTATAAAACTTTGAGGATTTGCTGGGCGAGAGGAAACCCACTGTATATTTAAAGGATAACAGCACTAGAAGTATAGTTTTCCTTTAAATTAGTGTTGTAACCATTTCCAGATTAAATATCAGATCCATATTATTTGTTGAGAGCTTTTCATGCATGTTTGTTTCAATCCAAACATTTTAACGTCCATGAGTGTTTGCATACACATGAAATATGTATACATTAAGCTTAGGAATTCTACATTATATATCACAAATGACGGTCAGTGTCTATTTTGTTTTAGTTGGTTGTACAGTGCAGACAAGGTAAGCCAAGAAAGTTATAGCTCTGAACCTGAACACAATGGGGATTTTCCATCATTTACACCCAAGTAACACCTGATAATGGTGACGTTGGTAATAACTGGTGACGGTCTGTTTGTGAAACACATTATTGCATGAATATGCACAGGGTTTTATAAAGTTGCCAACTCTGAGAATTAAAAAACATCTTTTCCCTGATTTATAAATGCTTCCTTTATTGTGTTTTATTAGATGATAGAATTTTTTTTTCTGTTTAATTACAGAACTTATGCGACTTTCAGGACAGGCCTCACAGTCAATCTCCATTGCCAACTCAAGTCGTCCAAACCCCATGAATTCACTTCCTCCAACAGATCCAGATAACCCTTATACAAGAAATCCTGCAATGGCAGACACTTATCAAAATGCTTCTTCCTCCTATGCTGGCTCTAACCACTCAGATTACTTTCATGCTCCTCCAAACTCAGCAGTCTCTTGTGCCTCCACCCCAATCAACCCTTACCAAGGATCCTTAAATCAAGGTAGTCCCCAGTATCCATGCAATGGTAATATTCCTTTGGAAAACTGTCCACCTTATCTCAGTCATTTTCCTCCACATCCACAGCATATGTTTTACAGGTTTAAAAATCAAGAACCAGCAGCTAATCCTAACTTGCCTCCAGTTCAGTCGTTATACCAGCAGAGGTTTGCTAATGGTAAGACCTACGGTCACAATTATATGAATTATGGAAGTCAAAGCATGCAAGCTGAGGATTTCAATGGCTGCAATCCTAAACCAAACCCTCACCCAATGGGATCATTTAACCCATACTCTGTGCATCGATCAGATAATCACCTAATGGATGCAGTCTCCAAGTCAAAACATAACCTTAGTTCCCCAGACTACCCCTCTCTGAATAAGAATGGTGATTACCCTCACTCCTTTCAGGCTCATGAAAGCAATGCATCCATAGATGGCAGGGCTGGCCCTCTGCAGCTCCATGGTAAGAACAGTGACACGCATTTACATGTAAGGAATGGAATGCCTGAAGGGTATCCTGGTCATAATCATGACAGGACTAACGTTGGAGGCCTTGGTAGATCAAATGGTGCTAATGTTCAGGAAAAGCTACCACCGACCTCCACTCCTGTGAAAGAAGAGCCAGAAGAAGTATGGTCAGACAGCGAGCAGAGCTTTCTTGATCCTGATATAGGAGGAGTAGCAGTAGCCCCAACTCATGGGTCAATCCTCATTGAATGTGCAAAGCGTGAACTTCATGCTACAACTCCATTAAAAAATCCCAACAGGAATCATCCTACTAGGATTTCATTAGTATTTTATCAGCATAAAAATATGAATGAGCCAAAGCATGGCTTGGCGTTGTGGGAAGCGAAGATGGCGGGTAAAGCCAGGGAAAAAGAAGAAGACTGTGAAAAGTATGGTCCAGACTATGTTGCTCCAAAATCCTACAATAAAAAAGCGAAACGTGAACCTGTTGAACCAGCCCATGAACCTGCTGAACCATCCTATTTACGATTCATCAAATCACTCACACAGAGGACAGTGTCAATGACCACAGACTCACAAGTCACCACATCTACATACGCCTTAACACGGGTTACAGGTCCTTATAACAGATATATCTAATCTGTTTCTTTACCTCATGAACATCAGAGTGGTGCATCATTTTTCCATAGGCTAGTTCATGTGGTTGTTTGGAATGTTGTGGCAGAGAAGTTACAGTATTCATGTAATCGATTATGTTACCCATCGGTCAAGAATACCAGCAAAAACAAGACATGGTATCCTCACCATCATTCTCTTCTTTGACTCCTATTTGGTCACAGAACATGTCAAAGAGGAGGATACTATCATCCTATGCAAATGGTGTTCCATTCAAACACAGGTTTTATTGGATGAGGCATAATGATATTTTGTATTGTTCTCCTTATCACATTGTATATCTGTGATCACTTTTGTAAAACAGATATGTTTAGTTAGGAGCCAGAGATATACTTGCTTAGTGTTACAACATCAGGAATCTTACAAAGACCTTGAGGTGCTGAATTCCTAATGTGCTAAATGATACTGGAATTGCAACTTTTTAACCTAGGCTATATAATCTTAATAAAGACCTCCAATAGACTGAAGTAGTATAGATTCACAGATCACTATATATTTAATTGAAACACTGAAAATATTGGGACATTCAAAAAAATGGTGCTATCATGAGTGTCTATTAATAATGCCTTGAAAACAAGTACAGTTCAGTGATAATACATGAAATATTAAGTGATTACTTTCTCAACAGTTACACTTTTAAATGTCATTTTAAAGTAGTTGTTTTTATATTTGTATTTTAACATCCTTATTTACAGTTTAAAAAGTAATGAACCTAAAATTTAACCACCTTCTTGCATCACATATTGATTTTTAAATATAGGTTGTTTGTTTTTTTTGTTTGCACTATTGGTATGCAAAATAAAGTATACTTTGATGCTGATCTGGGCCAAACAATGGCAAAAAACATGCCCTTTAATTGAAATGCTAGCAACATTAGCAGTCATGAATTGTTTCTCGACCTGCATGAGTCTGTATAATCAGAGCCTTTATTTTTAAAACTGAAAAAAATATTAGGAGTTGAATTTTAGTTTCTAATATTTATTTTACTCAACACAAATGAAGAAAAAATAGTTCCTCTGAAATACTAAAAAGACAGATCCTGAGACCTTGATGTGTTAGCGTAACCTTTAGGATGCATTCACACTTGATTGTTGGGGTGCTATTACTTTTCAACTGCACCCCAATGCCATAAGGCAATGCACATGTGTTGACTGCACTGCTTTGTTAAAATGGTGTAGGTTTTTTTTTTTGTTCATTCTGCTGCATTAGCAGCCCATTTTCATGAATGTTAATGTTAATGCAACACATCAGAATGGAAAGTTGTGAATGGGCCCAAAGTTTTCTATAATACTGTTACATTTTAGTGATGCTGATCATCTTTAGTCTCTTTGCAGCCACTTCCTGTCTACATGTACTCCACTGCTGGCTGCAACGCATTGCTCAGGGCTTGTTTTCTAATACTTACAGCAGTGGAATGTGCCTGTGCAATGTGTGTCGGTATGGCCTCTTAAGTTGGGTATACTCGTTTCTATTTTCTTTGTTCAATCTGCGTTGATCGAGTAATCTTCCGCTGTTTACAGTGGCCGCTGTCAGAATACCTGAACGTAGCTGGACGCTTTTTGGCTGCTCACTCTGTTCAGCCAAGACTTTCCCGACATGCTCCTTTGATCAGCTGATCGAGGGATGCCGGTCATAAAGGTGCTGCACCCATGCTTCAAATTTCGTCCGGAAGTGAGTATACCCAGCTTTACACTCTTCATGAGAAGTGTGAAGGGATGAAAACACAGGAGAGCAATTGGGAGACAGGGATATAGATTTTCAACCCCATAACAGGAAGTACCTGGACAAGGACCTTCATGGCAGTATTACAAGGTTGTTAGCTGCAGAATTAAGATTTAAAATTACATTAACGTGCTTAATATTATATTTGGTTTCAGTTTTTGTTATTGGGTTTACATCCAGTTTAATACCCCTAATAACATTTTGCTCTGAAGGTTAAACAAGGAACATTTACTTACCATTAGAACCAAAGCCAATTGCAATCTGCCTCTGAATGCATTGAGGGCGTTTTTATATGTTTAGGTGCTCTTCAGCGGTTGGTCTCCACCATGGCATTCTCTGGGCATAGTTGTGCCACTTTCACTAACCCCAAAGAGTCTGTGCTCTGCGTAGCTCCATTTCACTTACAGTACAAGTCAAAATACAAAAATAATCTATCTTGGATGTGGCGTATAAATCATTAAAGAATGAAGAATCTTCATTCCATCCATGAGTTCCATGAATGCCTCCATTCAATCCCAAAAGGATTATGGCAGGAAGACGAAATTGGAAATGTAACTTACAAATGGCTTTTTTTTTTTATAGCTCATGCGGTCTGTATCGCAACATTTTGGTCTTGTTTCTTTTCCAAACCACTGAAAACATGCCTTTATCTTTATATCCAGACAAGGCAGACAAATGCCATGGCAAATAAAATGTGGAGAACATTAGCAAATAGGTTTTGACTCCACATAGGGGAACAATGTTAGGCCACAGAAAGAGAACTTATGATGCATAAAAATCTCTGTGGCAACTAATATTATATGTGCAGAAGGCATTTGACAGACATTTCTTTTGTTATGTAAATGGTTCCATAAATAACTCTGCCACAATAAGGCCCTAAGTTCCTCAGATAACAGCCAAATCAATTTTTTATATATACTGTGTGTGTGTATAGATATATAATATATATATATATACAATTTCAGATGTTAACTACTGTCATAAAGGGCCTTATTCAGCACAGGGGCAGAAAATTAGCTTGCTATATATATTTTTTTTTCATAAACAGCATTTGTTGATATTGTTGTTTGGCTATAGGTATGCAACAAAACAACTTTATTAATTATGCCTCAATCGATGAGAAGTATTCTAAATGACATAATAATACTTAGTAATGTCATGTATAGTGTCCATTATTTATTGTTAAAAATATTTACCAGCACTGATATATAGAAGACAAGTGGTTTAAACTGGGAGGAAAACATAAATAATAACCTCATTCAAGATTAACAGGGTTATTCACAAAAGGGTGAAGAGTTTGGAAAAGGCAGGAGAAGTGACAAATCTAGAACGTAGCTGAACTGGAAAGGACAGGTATTTTGTCCTAGATTGTTCACTTCTCTTACCTTCTCCAAACTCTTCACACTTTTGTGAATAACCCTGTAAATATTGAGCCAAGTTTTGTTAGCTAGACAAAATGGGGACCCTTTGCTGTATTCATACCTGGAAGGGTCTCATGTCAGTCTCTTTTTTCTTACAGATATTCATATGAAACCAGTAAAACTACTACATGCAGTTAATAGGGACTTAGCCATTTTATTTAGCATGAATCCACCCAGTTATACAGGTTTAAATTTGGTAAAGATGCTTGACGGTGCTACTATTACCCGCTGACAGTGGAAACAGCTGTTTTTATACGCTGATCCATTATTTGCAGGAAAACTGCTAATTAATGAATTAAAATAGGAAGATCAGACAAGGTGCCCTTGTCTGGGTCTTTTACAACTTTCACATGCTGTATATCTATTCAGGCAACATAATAGTTGTCCTCTGTGTGTGCAGTTACTCTTCACCATACTGTTCTCTTGTAATTGAAGGCTTACTGTCCCATTGAGCAAACCTAGACCGAAGCAGAATACACACCAGTTGCACCAGTCATGCTTGCTTGGGTAAAGCTACAGTCACTGCATCCCAGTTAAAGCAAGCAGACGGGCTTTAAAAGAAGCCTGGCATGAGAGAAACATGGAGGCTACCATTACTGACCCCAGCTTCTGAGGATGCTACTAGTTACATGGCTGTCATGAAGATCATCTGACTTTAGATGCCTTGAGTCAATGTCCTGAAACAAGTCAATGACTGAGAAAATTATACTCTGTAGGGCAGCATAAGTTCTTAGCAACTATGAATTTTAGAAGGAGGTCAGTAATAGCAGTCCCCATATTTGTGTAATGACAGGTTCACATTAAAGCAACTCTGTCACCTGAATAAACAAAAATTTAATGGACGTTCCCTGCAATAGAAAACTTCTCCTTTGGGTGGCTAGTCTGAACGTTGCACTGTTGAAGAGCTACAGTCTCTGTTAGAATCTTTGCATTTAACATACATCTGGGTGTGTCAGATGCCTGGTCTCCCACTTTGTACTTTGGTTCCTCCCCTGGCCCTTACTTGACTACTTTGTCCTGTAGTGACGTAGGGGCCATCGGGAAGAACCACAGTACATGGCAGGGAATGTAGGCATCCGACATTCCTGGAAGTGTCGGCTGCTGAGAATGCTTTTGGAGGCTGTAGCTCTTCAATAGCGCAAAGTTTACACTTGCCACCCACAGGTGAATAAGGAGAGTTCTTTTGCAGGGATATTTTATTAATTTTTTTAAGGTCTAAGGTTTTTTAACCTAAGGTCTCTATGACTGCAACTGTCAGTACACTTTGTCTGCATTGCATTCACTGAAAACATCCAATAAAATGCATGTGGCACCTGGGATGCATTCAGCTACCTAATAGATGGTTATATAACGCTATGTAAACAGAAAAAAAAACTAGTTTCTTTTGCATAAGCAGGTTAATATCTATATTTCAGCTTTATCCTAACCAAATACATCTGTTATTTCCTCCTCTTATATGTATACTAGCAACCATATTTCCCAGAACACTTGTTAAGGTGTGGGCAGCTCCTGTGTAGTTTGACAGACAGGCACTTTATACTCTTGGTTGAAAGTAGTATGAAGAGTAAAAAAGAAAATGGCCCCTAACATAAAAGTCTTTTTACTATTCGTTTTATTTACTGCCCCTTTTCTGTATCTTTGATTTCTTCCTGGAAAGAAATATTTTGGTGCTTATATCACTGATCCAAACAGGCTGTGAAACATCATTGATCCTGGTGCTAGGACAAGTACGGTTTATGGTGAGATACTCTTTTAACAAAAATAAATGCCAGTCCTTTACCATTGAACTTAACTGGCAGAACCATTGATGGTGATCACAAACAATTGCCTTGTCATTCGGGCTGATAAGCTGCAAACCTTTCTTTATGACGTGGGGAAGCAGTATAGGCAATGTGCTCATTCTTTACTCCAGACTGTGCTACACTTCTAGTTGTGTAGCTGCAAAATTAGGCAGCTGTCTCTTTGTAGTTATTTTAGATTCATGAATTTGTAGAAGAAAATGAAACAAAACTAACAAGACCTGTATAGTGAATCAAATATAAAGATCTATATTTTTATTTTATTTTTTCTTTCTTTTAGTACTGTGTATATATATCTTCTTTTTTTTTCCTTTTCAGCAAACATTCATGAAACAAGTCTTGGTAATAGTTTAGGCTATTTATGATGGTGCTACTCAACCTGCTACCAGATATCATAATGTGAGATAAACATACAGGATAGGTCTGAGTTAGGGTCCTATATGTCATTTACCTCAGCACTAGTTTGGCAGTAGGACATTGAGCATGGAGTTGAAGAGTATTACATGGCATACCATCCGTGTATCCCAACCTCCTATGAGATAAACTAATCAAAACAAAGAAAATTACATGACAGCTCTTCTTAAATTTACTTGATATCTTAACAAGTATAACTTGAACTTCAGTCTTTTCTTCTAAAAATTCAGGGATATTTCAGCTTGCATTCTTTTCATGCCAATTGGTCATGTTTCTGTAAGGTTCTTATAC